TCAGTTCTTTTGAACAACAGCAAATAGCTTTTATATTTAAGCAAGCATTTGTTCTTGGGAAACAAAATGTTCAGCTCTAGTGGTTGCCACAGCAACTGCTTGGACTAAAAATACCAAATATTCCATAAGAAGAAAAAGCATGTACTGAGCAGGAGAGACAGAAGAAAATGGGAAATCTCCCAGTGGAAAGTCAGTGGCAGAAATCAGCCTCTGAAGATAAGGGAGGACATGTGTCTTGTGAACTGCTTTTTCCCATGAGGCAATATGTTTAGCAGAAACCTACATCCTTCTCACTCCTTCTCTCCTATCTCCCTACAACTTTCTCTTCCCCCAGAATTGAATACACTAAGTGTGAGCAGTCCACATCTCCAAGAGTATAATGGTCAATCATATAGACATATCTAGCAAGGATGGCATTCCTGCAATATGATCAAACAAAGATAAGCCTCTGCCCATTGCTCCTGTACCCTCCTGTGTAGAAATTGCTTGAGGGTCTGGGTTGATAGTAATGTGCTTGTCTTGCAGGCATGAGTACCTGAGTTTATTTCCCAGAACTCACATGAAAGGAAGAGGGGGAAGCCTGACAGGGTGGCTCATGCTTCTAATTCCAGTGCTGGGAAGGTAGAGATAGACAGATCCTGGGAGCTTACATGATTCCGTCTAACCTGTTTGGTGACCTGCAGGCCAATGAGAGTCTCTGCCTCATAAAACAAAGTAAAAACAACTGAAGTTACCCTCTAGCTTCCACTTGCATGTATGGAGAAAAAGTATGTGTACCTGTGCACTCACACACACACACACACACACACACACACACACACACCACATGAACACACATGCACTTGCACATATTTTTAACAAAAGAGAAATCAGATGAGCAGTTTTCCCTCTTGCTCCAGTCTTCACTGTCTGACAAGCTTTGACTAATGTCCCTCCAGCTGGAGATGCATGCCTGCCCCCTTTGGTCTACTTAGCCTCTCATTGATGTCCACTGTAAAGGTCCCCGCTTACTGTGACTTCTCTTGCTCTCTGGCGCTTCTTTCTTGGAAATGCCCCTGCCAAGACAACTGGCACCGTGAATTTCCTATGTGCACATTTATTAGTCTCCATCTCAGGCTCCTGGGAGCCAGAGCTTTGCAATAAACCTCTATTTTGTTCCCCATGGTGCCCAGTGCTGAACCCAAAACACACTTGTTGACAAAATCTTCCTGCTCCCAAGGGAGGGAAGAAGAAGGCTGAGTGACAGGATCCTGTGATAGGTGGAGAGGTCAGGGTGATGGGTGTACACACAATAGGAATTTCATGAATAACTACTGTCCTAGGGATAGCTCTGCCCAATTCTTTCATACATGAATGCCAAGCCCAGTACAAAAGCCCTGAAACACACACAAATGTCATTGTACTCCCAGTGGTTTGGTCTAAGAAGTAGCATGCTAGAAATGATGTAATAATAATATCCTATTCCAAGCACACCCATAATTCTATGTTTCAGGATTTGGAGCCAGATGGGTGGCTCTTAGTTTCTAGTTCACACTGTCTTCCATGGACAACACATAATGGACAATGGGCCCAAGTGTAGATACCTAACTTCTTCACTTGGACTAAAGGGTTACTCAGACGATTACATTAGCTGAGAGTATTAGTGCATTTTGAAAACTAATAGACAACACCATGAGTTAATTCTTTCTACTAAATAAATCACCAAAGTCATTCCCTTTAATCTCCTAAGCCTGTTTTTATTCTTATTTCCCTAGGTTAAGTCTAGGTTTCCAAATTCTCTTAACTCGAATTAAATTAAGAGAAGCAATTTTCAGAGCTTATTCCATCACAGGCATTGTTCTGGCAGCTATGAGTGATTTAGTTGCAACTCAGCATTTGCCCCTCCCATCACAGGAGAGATAATGTATGATGTAATGATGTTTTGGATTTTCATAGCAGCTACTGTATATAAAACCCTCTCTTCTCACCAGAGGCAACAAGTCCCACCTGTACTGTTCTTCCCTGCCCTTTGAGGAACGTGATACTCCAGGCAGTCTGCTGCTGCAACTGAAAGGAATTGGACATTGAAGGAATATCCTTTGAAGATAAAGGGTGGCATCCAACAGCTCCTCCTACCTTCCTCCCCACATTCTTGGCAGGAAAGCTAAGAAATATGTTTCCAGGCAACAAGATGAAGCTGCCTCCAAAAGACTACCCTAGAACAGAGTGTCTGCCTCCCAGGATCAGGCATGTCATCCCCACATTCTAAAGTGATGGGATCTTTGGCGCAGTGCACAGGAAGTTGCTGAGAGATATTGAGAGGGAGGATATGATACCCTGAGGTTTAGCAGCCTCATGGGGCTACTTGGCACTTTCATCACAAGTTAATCTCTTCTAGAAGGTTCTTTAAGCCCCTCATATCACAGTGAACTTGTGTGCAATTCTTTGGTCCTTAATATCCTGCTAGAAAATGGAGACTACCATGCTTAACATACTGGAGTTTCCTTGTGTCTATAGAATATGCATGCTGTGTTCAATGAGCAGGCTGAAAGATTCACATAAATACAAATCGCCGAGAATAGTCCTGTTTCTGAGAGTCTAATTCACACCTAGATCTTGAAGAGAAATTAAATTGCATAGTGTTAAGTTACCTAGCCCATTCTAATCGCATCATGCCTCAGGAATATTGATTAACTCAGAGATTTTTTGGTATATCTAAGCATGGTAAAAATTTTATTTTCTCATTTTTTTAGGTTGTTTATAAGAATTTACTGAGAGTGACCATCATCTAGAAAGTCTTCTATTGATAATGACATAGCCATCAGTATTCAAATCTAGGTAGTAGTTGATTGAAATTGGGAAAAGAATGGCACTACCAAATGTTAAAAAGTCTATTAGGGACATTCTTGTCTTGCCCCTCCACCCTCCAGTAGAAAGGTGAGTATGGGGGGCTCTTCCAGGCCACTTTTCCCTGTTAGAGTCCCCTGACCTGCGACCACCACACCCTTCCTGCCGACGAATCCCCCAGAGGGACCTGGAGGCCGAGCAAAGCATCAAGCATCTGCCGTCATTCCTGTCTTGCCCCTCCACCCTCCAGGAGAGAGGAGAGGATAGAGCCTTGAACCAACACCCACCAGGAGAGGGAGAGACCCCACTTGTATGCACTGGAAGAAGAGATGGGAAGACAACAGTATAAGAACACACTCAACACAGAAAGACTTTTATGACACCACAAGAATCTAGGGATTCAACACTAGCAAGACCTGAACATCCCAATGCAGATGAAGCAGAAGACAATGACCTTAAAAACAACTTCATGAAAATGATAGGGGCCCTCAAAGAGGATATGAGAAAATCCCTTAAAGAAATGGAAGAAAAATAAAACAAAACAAAATGCAAGAAATCAACAAATCTCTTAAAGATAACAAGCCAAGAAAAACAAAAAAACAAAACAATCAAACAGATGAAGGAAACAATCCAGACAGTTCAAGACCTGAAAACTGAAAGAGTAGAGACAATAAGAAAACACAAACTGGGGGACTACTGGAATAGAAAAGCTGGGTAAACGATCAGGAACTACAGATGCAAACACAACAGACAGAATACAAGAAATGGAAGGGAGAATCTCAGGTGCTGAAGATAAACTAGAGAAAATAGATTCATCTACCAAAGAGAATCTTAAATCCAACAAATCCGTAACACAAAATATCCAGAAAATATGGGACACTGTGAAAAGAACAAACCTAAGAATAATGGGTATAGAAGAAGGTGAATAAGCCCAATTCAAAGAAAACAACAGCTCCCTCCACCACACAGCCCCGTCATCATGAACTGCTGTTTGTGGCTTGCTTTCCGCCATGAGTTCCCCACCACAATGAACTTAAAGGCCGCCCTGAAATCATGAGCCCAAGTTGCCTTTCAGCCTAACTTAATTCTCTTCAGCCCTAACTCTCTCACTCGCTCTCCCCCGTCTGGGGGTCCTTCTGTAGCACACCTGGTGGGATCACACTGTACTCTCCTCCTTTGGGCAAGTTGTTGCTTGTGAATCCTTCTAATCTGGGTTTCTTTCAGTTCCTCTGCAGTGGTTTTAACACGGCAACTTCTTCAGTGTGTTCTCAGGCAGCATTCCCTCCACTCACATCATGGTCAAACACTGGGATTACTCCTACCTGCTGTACTCGAAGGCCTTTTGAACCTGCATTTCCCTTCTTTGAGCACAATTTACTATTAAACTATATATAGTTTAATATATATTCCTTCTTTATATCACTCTAATTTGCTATTGATTCTTTTGTGAATAGTTGCACTGTACTAATATTGAGGTAAGGGAGTGTGTCAGTCCTCTGACTTTGTCTCCCTGCTTCATCCTGGTAAATCTTAAAGTGTGTTGCTTAGCCATGTTGAAAACTGTGGGTTCTAAAATCAATCCAGTATCATTTCATTTAGTTTGGCATCTTAGGGTTTTTTTGATAGCTAGTTTATCTCAACTAAATTGCAAAAAAATTGGTAGAGAAATAAGCACAACCAGGACTGAAATTAATGTGAACTTTTTGTTGTTGTTTTGTTTTTTTTTCAATTCGGATTTCCTATTCTTTGATGCTGCCTTTCTATTATATCTTTTAGGACAATGTCTGGGTTAAAATTCCAGGAAGCAGAAGACATCCATGGGCTTCAAGATTCAGAATCTGGAGGACCTGAGCCAACTTATGTTTGACTAAGAAATTATTTGGGAAGAAAATTAATAAAACATTGCTTAAGACATTAAGCACCTCCAGGGATAAGAACGTGGCCTCTTTGGTGAGCAAAAACTTAATGAAAACTAAGACTATGTGTAGATGTATTTTTGTTCAAGTGTTTCCATTGAGAATGAGGGAGGGCACACTGCTTTAGATAAAATGAGAGGTGACCTCAACTGACCCAAAACTCTTGCCCAAAACATAAAACAAAGACCCAATCAAATACTGACCTCAGGAAGAGTTCAGAGAAAGGTCAGGAAGGGAGGGCCGGTGTGGGTGCAGACTGAGAAATCAAAACACTGGTGTGTGTCTCCTCTTCCTGACCAAGTCTTGCCAGAGTGTCATAAGAGAGGCTGTGTATGCAAACAGCCCAGCCCAGCTGATGTCCAAGCAGTCAGCTCTCCGGGTCGTTTTACTTCATTCCTGAAGAAATGGTTCGTTTTACTTCATTCCTGGGGGGAAAAAAAGGTTCTTCCGGGCAGGTTCTTAGTGAGTGCAAAGCCAAAGTTTCACACCCCTGTCCCAGCAAGGTGTAGGCAGGGTCTGAAAAGTTATTGAGTGTCCCAGATCTTAAAGGAAGGAATCGCCACCATTGTGTGGAGCAGCTTCTTAGGACTGCTAATATGGAGGCTAGACCCATGTCAGGATCCATAAGCAAGAGTAAGATGTTCCCCCAGAGAACACTAAGCAACATTAAAATTAATCTGTGCTGGGAAATCCATGAAGTCATAAGAGTTGTCTAGTTGTAAGCTTTAAATCTATGGCATAAAATTAGAAGTCATTATTGTTGTATATGTTGTTAATTAGTTTAAAGTTAGAAATTAGAAGAGGCGGAGGGAGGAACACGAGCGGGTACAGAACCAGAACCGACCTGATGGATGCAGCACCAGCCATGGAGAGCACGTTAACTATAGTCTATTACAGCGAGACTGAAAGGGGGAGACAGACGTGACAGAGAAGGTAAGGGGAGTAAGCGATAGGAGAGGGGATGAGAGTAAGGGAAGATGAGAGAGCATAAGTGCGTAGGGGTCTGATCTTTAAAGGGGTCCTTTGCACCTGGGTGCAGACTGGGTCTCATGGAACTCTGGCCTGGCCAGAGAGCTGCCTGAGTGAATCCTGCCAGGTAACAGGGCAGGCCAGAGTAATGCCTGAATCTTTCAATTATGGTCTGCCCCAAGCTCTACCTTAAGAGGTCATTAGAGAGAGGGGGCTTAGTTGAATGGGTCAATGTTTTGATTTAATGTGACACCGATCGTGTTTTATTAGAGATGCAAGCAACCATTTGAAGGGCAGTAATAAATGATTTGGGCAAAGCATGCTTTGCAGTTTAGCAATTATCAAGCTTGTACTTTAGGCAATCACGGAAAGTACAGTTAACCCGAACAAGCTTGGTTGTATAAGTAGCGAACGCGTCTGCAGCTCTCGGAGCTCTGGCTTTATAAACCACAGTCCTCATTTCCCATTGCACCATAAGCTTTTCAAGGACAAAGCAAAATCATAACCATTCTTCTACCCGCAGTACATATGATGGATTCCAAATGTGGCCTCAGCCAGACGTTGGTGGCGCATGCCTTTAATCCGCACTCGGAAGGCAGAGGCTGGCAGATCTCTGTGAGTTTGAGGCCAGCCTGGTCTACAGAGCGAGTTCTAGGACAGAATCCAAAACAATACAGAGAAACCCTGTCTCGAGAAAGAAAGAAAGAAAGAGAGAGAGAGAGAGAGAGAGAGAGAGAGACAGAGACAGAGACAGAGACAGAGACAGACAGAGACACAGACAGAGACACAGACAGAGACACAGACAGAGACACAGACAGAGACAGAGAATGTGGCCCCAGCTAGAGCAGAGAAAACCAGGAAACTGGTCCACATGGCATAAAGCCCTTTCAGTGATTGGCTTGTCTTTGTAGATAAAACTCCAGGTGCCCACTGCCGCTTTTTTTTTCTACTTGACACAAGCTGGAGTCATCATCTGGGAAGAAAGACCCTCACCCTCAGGTGAGGGATAGCCTCCATCAGACTGGACTGTGGGCAAGTCTGTGTGGCATTTTCTTGATTAATGATTAGTGTAGGAAGGCCCAACCCACTGTGGGCGCTGCCTGGGCACATCCTGGGTGTATAGGAAAGTAAACTTCAATCTAGGGAGAGGAAGCCAGCAAGCAGTTTATTCGATGGTTTCTATCTCTGCCTCCTGCTTGAGTTCCTGCCCTGACTTCTCTTGGTGATGGACTATGATGAGGACATGTAAGACAAATAAGTCCTTTCCTACCCAAGTTGCTTTTGGTTATTGTGTTTATTACAGCAATTGGACATTAAACTAGGACAGACTGAATGACATAGTAGATGAAGACATTTGATGTTATGGTTAGGGAAGAGATGAACCGAGCTTTACAGACGTCTCAAATACTTGCATTCCCTACATTTTCCATCCAACTAGCTATGCAAATAATTATATTTTTCACATAATGCTGAAGATAGCAATAACTGCACATATTGAACCCTTATACTGTACTTGTGTTTTACGGAAAGCAGGGGAGAAAAGTGAATTCAGTTATAAGTAGATGTTGAGCACCAATTTTTGTGCCAGGAATTGTAATTACAGAAAGTAGAATGAGTAAGATTTGTCTCTGTCCTGGAAAGGATTATGGTCCAATAAACAGGGAACTGTGCAAAGCAGTCAAGCTCTGGGAGCTTCAGACAAGCACCACACAGACACATGGCGTCTACAAGGAGTGTTTCGTGAAGAGTAGAGGAGAATCCACGGCAGCTAGACCCAAGCACACAGAGCTGGAATTGGTGTCTGGGGAGAACTACATTCTATTCTCTAAACAGCATTTTGCTACTGCTTCCTCTGGAGGGGACGGGCAGTTCACATGTTCAGTAAGAATGAGACTTAATCACCTCCCAGAGGCCACACCACTCTATGATATTCCACAAGGTTTGTTTCAACATGAATTTGGAAAGGAAATAAAGCATTTGAAGCATAGTAGCAGCCATTGGGCAAGTAAAGCTAGAGGTGAGAGAGAGAGAGAGAGAGAGAGAGAGAGAGAGAGAGAGAGAGAGAGAGAGAGAGAGAGACTGTGTTCTGTATTTTGGCCTCATTTAGTCATTATAATAAACTTTATAAGTAAGGATGCTTTGTCAGTTTTACTGAGCTGCAGAGAATTCAACTCATTTCCTTAGGTCATCATTAATTTTAATGATATTAAATGTTAAGACTATGCATATACTGATTCACTTAGTTTCACTAAGTGGATTCCACTGTAGGACTCACTGTACAGTTAGGAAAATTAAGGCCTGCGAAGGGAGGGGGAGAAATCAAGTGCTTTCCTTATACAGCCGATAGAGGACATGTTTGAAGCTGAAATCATTAACTTCCTACTGGTTGTCTGTTAGGCTTTCTATTGTTTTGATAAAACATCATGACCAAAAGCAACTCTCAAGGAAAGGGTTTGTTTCAGCTTATAGTCACAGTCCATACCAGGGAAGTCAGTGCAGGAGCTCAAAGCAGGAACTAGAGGCAGGAGCTGATGAAGGGCCATGAAGGGGTGCTGCTACTGTCTTGATCTTCATGGCTTGCTTGTCCTGTTTTCTTATACAGCCCAGGACCACCTTTCCCAGGGTAGCATTGCCCTCAGTGAATTGGACCCACCCATATACTCATTTGTTACTGGATTCTTCCCACCAGCCTAGTCCCAGAGCCACATCAGCCCCAAATAACACACAGAGACTCTATTAGTTACAATGCTGTCAGCCAATGTCCAGGGCTTCTCATTGGCTAGTTCTGTCTTAAGTGTTAACCCATGACTACTAATATATGTATATTTCTATAAGGACTTATCTTTCCGAGGACACCATCCTGATATGTCCTCTCTTCCCAGGATCACACGGTGACTCTCCACCCTTGACTACATTTCCCAGAATCCTCCTTGACTCCTAGTCCCAACTATCTTGCTTCCCTATTGGCCAACAGTGCTTTATTTATCAACCATTCAGAAAAACATATACATAGAAGGACTTCTCCCATCATTCATTAACCAAGAAAATACACCATGGGCTTGCCTATAGGTCCATCTTGTGGGGGAATTTTCTCAGATGAAGTTTACTTCTCTCAAGTTGACAAAAATCAATCAGGACACCAGTCACTGGCCAGACTGAAATATCTTACTTTGTCTGACTCTAAAACCCATTTTTCTTTCTACACAGCACATCTGCGGCTGACAATTAAACAAGCAAACAACAAGGTTATTTTATCACAGCAACTTATTTGACATGAGAAATAATGTCGAGAAAAACAATTGCCCTCAAAGGAAACAGATTGCAAGCAGCAAGTCCCTTCCTCAGGTGTGTTGAAATGGAGGTCATACAGCAATTAGAAAAGCCATTTCAGAAAGATGTCAAACAGGTATTGTGTTAAATTACTCCTGTGAGTTGAGATCCACAAGTCCCCCAACACAATAACAGAACAAGTCTTAGTTTGACATTTTCCCATATAGTTTCTAATCAATTAATTTGGAATCTTTGTGATTTCAAAATATCGTAAGGCAATGCATTTTATCTTGATCTTTATTCTAATTTTGTTCACATGTTGATAATCTAAGTAACCACAAAGCCTGTATAGCTTGTGACAAGCATAGTAACTTCCTTCTCCTTAGAAAGCAGTTAGTTTAAGCATGGGTATGTATTACCATTTTAGCAAAGACATATCAAAGGCAGTATGTTCAGGCTCTGGGAAGGCTTTTCTCATTCCTAAAACAAGATACTAGTCTAGCAGTTTCATTTCTTGCCTTTGAACTTTGCAATCTGCTTATGACACCTGCAAGGAGAAAGCTACCGGGTGCCATTGTAGGAGGACAATTGGAATTACTGTGGTTTAAAGTAGAATAAAGGATGGATATTGGAGCCCTGGTGACATCACTGACTACTAAACTAACCAGCTTCTGAACTTCTCTATCTCAGCTTCCTCTCATGAGAGAAACAGGCAGCCTTGCTGCTTGCTTGTTGTTTTTTAACATATAAAAGCATCCTAACAGATAAATTGAGCTACCACACATTTATTCATAGAACATTGATTCTCCAAGAATCATATCACAAAATGTGAATTTGTTTATGAAGACTATGAAATTAAAAAATAAGAGAAAGATAATTCATAAAATAGAGTCATTATCATGATCATTGAGCTTTACAAAAAACAGAGATCTGGGAATAAGATAAATGTAAATTTAAACTCATGTCTTCATTGGGATGATTCAGTAATCTTGAAACAATTATTTAACTTCTATGGTACTCCTGCATTAGAGTTTAAGAGTAAATGATACAAATGTATTTTTTCAAGGTTGTATGAAATGCGATTATGTATATTGATGCATACTGTTGGTTTGTTGCTCTCCTGCAAAACTGATACAAGAAAGCTTAGCTCATCTGGTCCATGTATACTAACAGAGACAGGGAATGTACTCTTTCAACACGTTACACATTATGCTCTGGTCTATCTAGGAACAGAAATGGAATGACTGGACTGATCAGGGAATGGGATATAGGCACTGCTTTTTGAAGGAGGTTAGGAGGTACCATTACAACCCTGGATGTTAAAAAATGTGTAAAGACAAGGGCAAAGGACCCCAGATCAACCTGTTTCTTTGATATTTTTCCAGATGCTAGCTGTCCTTAAAACTGTAAAATAGTCCAGGATAGTGAGCTTGCACTAGCTCACGTCATCTGTCTCTGTGGTTCTTCCCATCATGATCTTCATCCCCCTTGCTGATATGATCCCTCCTCCCTCTCTTCAACTGAAGTCCTGGAGCTCAGCTTAGTGCTTGCCTATGCATGAACTGGCTTTTGGGAGCCCATTCTCTATGGTGGGATACCTTGCTCATTCTTGACTCAGTGGGGAGAGGCTTAGTTCCACCCAACTTGGTATGTCAGACTTTGTTGACTCCCCAAGGGAGGCCTTGCCAGTTCTGATGAGTGTAAGGAGGTAGGATGGGGAGGTGTGGGGACCAGGAGAAAGTGGGGAGGGGGAACTGGGGTTGGCCATAAAAATTTTTTAAATGTAAATAAATTTTTAAAAACTAGAAAACAGGAAATAAAAGCTATGTAGTAAACATCTAGACTGTCAAAAACAGCAACCCAGATTAACTCCGGGAGATTTTTAATGCTGTTGTTGTTTTGATGTGAGGGGTGGGTAGGAAAGTGTAGACAGAAGTTTTCTTTCCTGACAACCAGCTCCCAAATAATTACACAGAGAGTTACTATTAATTATAAAAGTTCAACCAATAGCTTATACTTGTTACTAACTATCCCTTACAATTTAAATTAGCCCATATTTCTTATTTACACTCTACACGTAGAGATATCTTTTTCAGCATGGCATATTCAACTTGCTTCTCTCTGAGTCTCCTGGTGACTCCACCCTCTTCTACCCCATGCTCTCTTTATGCCCACAAGTCCTGCCTAACCTTTTCTTGCCTAGCTATTGGCCAATCAGCTCTTTACTAACCAATGAGAGTAAAGCATATTCACAGCATACAAAAAGATTGTTCCACAGCAGGGAAGAGTCTCATACTCTGTAACTCACATTGGCCTGGATTTACCATGTAGCCCAGATTAGCTTCAAATATGTGGTGACCATCCCACCTCAGCCTACCAGGTACTGGAATTATGGTTGTGAGCCATGCCTGACTGCTTTACCTTCCTAGTAGGTCTCTTTGGATTTTCTATTCTCTCATTAAATGTGTGCTTGTAGACATTCAGTAGTATTCAATAGTTCCTCGGAACTCTAAGTTCTTCCATGTTTTGTTTTATCAGTTCCATTTAAAATATTAAGTTGATATCTTTAACTTTGCTCTTAAACCAGAGCCAAGTCGGCTTTTCTCCAAAGAATGTGGTCCTGTGATACTATTGTATGAATGCCAGGAAGTGCACTGAGCAGAGAGTTCTAGCTTCAGATAAGCAGTTGATAATGGATGACTGTGTGGCCACATTCCTTACCTGGCTCACTGTTGACTGGCCTTTGAAACAGAATTCTGAGTTTCTTCTCTGACTTCACCTGACCCCTCTTTGTGGCCACTTAATCTCATTAGTGTTTTCAGTCTATACCCAGTACTATTTTTCCATGTAGCTACCATATTGCATAACTTTTCACTCTGCCTATATCTGCCACAGCCAGACAAGCTAACCGAGATTATCAAACTCATTTCCAATTCATCCTGGTATAAAGCTGAAATAGCTTTCCTGGCTCCCCTGTAGAGGTAAAACATGACCAAGTCCTAGACGATGTAATATGCAGCAAACTGACATCCAAGAGTGGCCCTATGGACAACTTTCCCTTCTCCCTCATCTTCCAGCAAAGTGAGAGGATCTAGTGGAGGATTTGGAGGCCTCCTATCTACCTCATACCTTCAGACACCATCCTTCCTGGCCCTCTACTCTGCTATCTCTTACTGAAGTGGGGCAGAAGGAAGATATCCTTTTATTATGTTAGACTACTAAAATATGGGGCTGATCTAGTGGCAAGTTTTGACCTACTCTACATGTACATTAAATTCTAAAATGCCTCTTTGAAAACAAGTGACATTTTGTCTTCATTTACTAGGGTAGATTATAGGCCCTGTTAGATTACTTGACTTACACACACACAACAACAACAACAACAACAACAACAACAACAATACTCTATTTAAAAGAATTTTAAAACAGAAACAAGAAAAAAAACAGTTGAGTGTGGAGTGTGGTGGTATGGGCTTGTAAGCCAAGTGCTTGGAAGGCAGAGGCAGGAGGAAACTTGAGTTTGAGCCAGGCCAGCCTGACTGTAGAGAAAGCTTCAGATCAGCAAACAAGGAGGTGTATTTGCCTTTTTTTTTTATCAAACCCACTCCTGAGATAACTACATCCTGATGAAAAGAACATTAGTCCACATGAGAGGCCAGGATACCCAAGACCCAAGTTCCTCTTTTTAAGGTCCAGCCGCCAGCACTGTTGACTGGAGAGGAAGTATCGAACACTAGAGTATGAGGCTACTTTCCCCATTCAATGCTCTTTTGCCTCAAAATCCTTTATAGCTCAAATGTGCATGGTACATAGAATAAGAAAACTAAAGTAAGTTTCAAAATATTAATAATAATATGTATTGCACAGATTTATAGCTAAACCTATTCCCAGGGAAATAAATTAACAGGTTCCCATTATTTTGAAATGATCAATACAATGCCATAAATATATGAACGTTTTTGGGTGGGAAGATGAGCTCAGGAAAGCTAAGTGTGTTTAAGACTAAGAAGAACATGTGGCATTGTCCATCATACTCTTTGGTACAATGTCTAACTCATCTTAACACCCCAGGGTCTAACCCCAAGTCTCATATTAGAAATTACATGATTTTTGCTGGATTAAATGAATGTACTTTAGAGAGCCCCTATGAGGAAATCCTTCAGAAGGATTCAGGGGTGGTTAATATACAGTGAGGTGGTGAAATAAGGTAAGTCCCTAGAATTTCATATCAACATGTTGTGTTAAGAAAATGTTGTGATGGGTATTTTTTTTAAATAAGGAAAACAAAGAAATACAAATGTTAACATTCAGTTAGTACTTTGTATAGTTATTTCCACCAATTATGGTAAAATGAAATAAACTACACAGCATAGTAAGAAACGTATCTAAGAGAAATGTTGCCTTAGACAAAATGAAAACAGCTGAATCAAATGTGCATAGTTCTTCCATGGAACTGTATTCAAAACAGGCAGGTAAGAAGAAGGGGAGATGTGGGGAAAGAGGGCAGGATGAAGCCAGGTCTACATTCTCCCAGGTTCTGTGATACTCTGGTACAAAATTCCATGAGAGCTAAGGATGTGATAATCAAAATAGGAGAGAAAAATTGAAAAGGCCCTCCCTTATTTCAAATGATCCCTTGGAGCTGTAAGGAAAGTCACTACATGGTGAACTTGGAACTTATGTTCGGAAGAAATAATGATAATAAGAGCTAACATCAACTCCCCGGCATTTGACAGTGAACTCAATCCTGCTCAATTTTCTTCAGTCTCAGAGCCTAGAGACTAACAAACAACTAAATTTTAACACAGTTGTGGGTGTCGTTGCTTGTTCATGAGCAGAATGCTTCTGGATTGCCCTGCTTCACATTTCTTATAAACATGATAGTGAGTGAAATTCTAAGCAGAAAAACAGCATCCCTGGCTTCACTAGAGCATCTAAGGAGATGGAACCTGGGGAGCAGAAGGCTTGACTCGAGGAGACTCTATCAGGTACAACCCTGGAGTCTATTGATGAGTGACTGGAAGACAAGGCTGCACTGTTAATTTGTCTCTGTATCCTCTGTTAACACCTAATTTCTATTTACCTTTCATGTGCTTTACTGAATTCCTATGTTAATCAACTTTCCCTTATTGCAAAAAAAGAAAGAAAGGAAGGAAGGAAGGAAAGAAAGGAAGGAGGGAGAGAGGGAGGAAGAGAGGGAAGGACGGAAAGAAGGAATAGAGAAAGATTTATCTGGGCTTGTTGTTTCATAAGTTTCCATCCAGCATCAATTGCCCCATTGCTTTGTGGCATGTGGTGGCATCTCAGTGTGTAGAGTGTGATGGAACAATGTTACCTACTTCATGGTGGCCAGGAAGTGAAAGGAAGAAAAACAAGAGAGATCAATATACTAACACTTCAATGTATAATGATCTCTGACACTCCCCATTAGACCCCACTTCTTCAAGTTTTAACCTCTTGTTTTGCCTTTAGTCTCTTAATAGCTCCATGGGTGATGAAGATTTTAATGCCTTTGGTGAAAAAATCAAGTACAAAGTTCAAGGCCTGAAGAATGTGTGGCTTGCTCAGCTACCCAGCTAAATCCGATTCTACTCTCTTGATGGAGAGAGTGACAGATATCACAGCTTCACTCATTTGAAGCAAGTATGCTTCAGGATTGACAGAAACAAGGATTCTAAGATGACATAATGCCCAATGACCTACTCCTTGTCCTTCCTGGATCTGGCAGAATCCTGTGACCAGGATGAAAGATCGCTCCTTGATTATATTACCTTATATGGCAAATAAACTTACTGATGCTGTCATGGTAACAACTTATCCTACAGCAGAGGTTCTTAACCTTACTAATGCTTCAACTCTTTAATACAGTTCCTTGTGTTGTGGTGACCACCAAATATAAAATTATCTCCATTGCTACACCACAACTGTGATTTTGTTACTGTTCTGAATCATAATGTAAATATCTGTGTTTTCCCATGATGTGAGACAACCCCTGTGAAAGTGTCATTCGTGACCACAGGTTGAGAATCACTGCCCTAGACAGTCAGGTAAGCCCTTAACACAGACATTTCTCTGCATTACTTTGGAGCAAGAAAGCTGATGACCATGTCATGAACCTTCTGTTTGTGCAGAAGGGCAGTCTCCAGAAGCAGTTAGAAAGAAAACACTGGCCCCAGTCACATAAGCACCAACAAGTAAGTTCTTCCAGCAGCCTGCATGAAGAACAACTGTGGTCCCAACCAATACCTTGGTCACCATCCTATGTGGCCTGAGCAGATGACCCAGCTAAATGTTATCAAAGTCCCTCATCCCATGAAGACTTTGAGATTGTGGATGTATTTTGCTTCATTGGAATCGACACAAAAAACCCACAAATCTCACCTCGAAGAGGGTAAGGGGTGGGTTGTTCTAGAGCAAATTGTGAATGACCATAGTTCTGAACAAAGATTTACATTTCTCCTAATTCCATGTTCCAATATGTCAACAACTTGATGGAGATCAAGGTGCCTTTCAAATATGTTGATGGAAGCATTAAGTAGGTAGATTGAAGTAAAGTTGAGAAACTCCCACTAATTATGTGTGTATCCAAGATATCAAAGGACTTGAAACTTCTTCAGTACCATAAAACATGGATTTTTCTTCACTCTAGCAACTCAGAAATAGATGAGCATATTTTCTTTAGAACTTACCCCAAATAAAGATTTTTCTTCAAGGCTGAAATCAAGACTGAGAAATGCTAATCTGTAGAAGGAAGGAAGCTTAAACCATGTAAATAGCTCGAAATAGGCTCCATACACTGACCTTTTACATTCTCTGGAGAGAACTGCTCATTTTTTTAGAATAAAGGAACGTTTGGTTGCCGTTGCATGCAAGGTACTAAGAGAAGTCTCTGTGTTTGTTCATGCCTGCTCACTCACGGAAGCAGACACAGGGCCAGAATCCAAACTGAACTTAGGCTGTTGTCCTTGATAAATGCAAAGCTGAACTCATCTCACATCCAGACCTGATCATGCAAGTCCTCACAGTCCTTCATGGCTTCAAAAAGAATTTGAGGACAATAAAATAGCACGAACACAGATTTTCTCTTTTCAAATTCTTCAAGATCTCTCTCTCTGTCTCCCTCCCCCCCTCTCTCTCTCTCTGTGTGTGTGTGTGTGTGTGTGTGTGTGTGTGTGTGTGTGTGTGTTCATTATGTATGGGCATAGCTGGGTGTGGGTACCCATGCATGTGTGAACACAAGCATGTAGAGACCAGTAAATGTAAGGTGTTTTCCCCATCAGTTTCCCACTTCACTTACTGAGGCAGGCTCTCTCACTTGAACCCAGAGCTCAGTGGCAGGCTAGGTGAGCTAGCCCTCCTCTGTTTTCCTAGTGCTGGTGTTACAGGCAGCCGCCACACCTTCCAGGCTTCCATGTGAGCTCTGGGGATCTGCACTCCTCTCACATGAACAGCAAGCGCTTTCTCCACTGAGCCAGCCCTTGACCTAGTCTAGGTTCTTTTCATGTCTGTGCTTCTACCAGAAGAATCTTCTCTCTTTTTTTCTTTAGTTTCGCAGTTTTGTTACATGAGGCTGAATACAGGAAACTAGCACAAACACTCACAAATGTGATTTATTCGTAGACAGAGATTTAAGCAATGGCGGTATTCACTGCAGCTGTTGTAAAGCTCTTGTTCATTGCGCTGATTTCCCTAGAGTTTTCATTGCTCTTTCAGATCATTGTACATGACTTCTCTTTCATGACAGACATGTAAAGAGACAGACTTCTAGGTAGAAGCAGCTATAGCGGGGAATTCCAGATTCTTAGCCTTGATACCTATTTAGACATCCCTTCTACAGTCGCTCATAAATTCCAGAAGTGGGCTGGAGTTCTGTGCCCTGATGGACATCTCTACCTTGAAACCTCCCTATCCTCAAACTCAACTCAGCCCAAATGTAGTATGTTTTTGTTCTCCCCAGGTCACCTTATGTCTGCTTATTCAGGCTCAATTACTCAGTATTAACATGTACTTAAGTCATAGTTTCTTCTTAACGTTTTTACAAAATATTTTACAAAATTTTATCCTTTTAAGACAATTAAAATTTATTTCAGTGCATTGAAATCGTCCTTTTCAAAGTCACTTGTAGGAGTGATTGAAACTGTTTTGTGTTGAGTCCCTGTTGACCTAGGTGGCTTGTGATCCAACCTTCTCCCTGTCTCCAAGCCTCTGCCTACAAGTTTTCTGGAACTCCACTGTGTTTATATTTTCCCTTGCACTCAGAGGTCCTGGGACCTTTGGTGGCAGGAGCTTGTGGTTATAGGTTGTTCACACATCAACAGGAAACTTGGGCTGGAATAAGAACTCGGCTATATCCACCAGTGCCTACTCTCCCAAGAACCCACTTCCTCGAGCAAGGTCCCTTCTCCCAAAGCCCCAGGATTTCCTGAAATAGTGCCACCAGCTGGGGCCCATGTGTGCAGGCATTGTAGGAACTATTTCACATCTATACCATAATGGCTTCAGACCCACTGAAACTGTCAGCTCTCTTTGGTAGCCCAGTTCAGTAGCCAAGGAAACATCCATGTGTGGCTTTGTTGAGAAGGATGACATCTTTTCAGTTATGAAGCATCATCATCCTTAAGTAAACGGGGGACTTAGTGACAATATGCTGATATTCATGAAAAACTCCTACTTAGCATACTTGGCAATCACACGGCACAGCTGTTTTCCTGGGGGCACTTTATAGTTTTTATCAAGATAGTCTCTGGAGGTTAGACATAGAGATTATTCTCTGTTATTCTTTCACTTTCCCAGCTGAGGAAAGCAAAGTAAGGCATTTTAAGGCCTGAACTGAAGATACTTAATATCAAAATTAATGTGGGAAAGTAATATATTGTTTTGAATCTCACAGACAGTAGCACTGCTTCACTGAGAAATGTTTTTATTCAAAAAGAAGCAAATAGTATCTTATCAGTTCTGCTCCTGATTGTAGTCCTGGGAAACCAGGGCAGTCCCTGGTCCTCTGTTCAAACCCAGATTTCCCCTGGTGGAACCTGAAAAGGAAAATTACTTTATAGTGTCCCAACCGTCATATTTGGTTTTATTTATTGACTTTTTCTGATTAAAATAATGCAAAAAAATCTAAAGAAAGTCGAGGGAGAGAAATAACAAAAGACCAGAAACAGTAAAATAGGAATTAGCAAAAGAGATTTTTGAAATGATGAAAAGAATAAACTGACAAACCTGTAGCCAAAATGATGTAGCAACAAAGGAAAATAGAGTTGACAATGTGAACAGAGAGAAAGAGACTCCATTAGTGTCCCTGTACGCATTAAAGGATGATAAGGAAATGCCAGGGAAGCTTTATGCTAATAGGTTGAACAGTTTGGATAAAATTGAAAAGCAATTAAGAAATTGGAAAAATTCAAACTACCTGTGACATGAAAACTACCAAATGATGAATTGAATTTAAAATTAAAAATCCTCCCTTCAACAAAGCTCTACTCAGGATGAATTCATAGCTGAATTGTACCAAAACTTGCTGAGACATTATGTCAATTCTTGAGAGGTTGTTACAGAAAATATCAGAAGGAATGCAAAGAGGGGGAACACTAGGCCCAAGTCAAATATATATATATCATATATATATATATATATATATATATTGTGGAAAGAAAACTACATTATCAACAGCCTCATACATCCTTAGTAACCACTTAGCAAATCAAAATTCTCAACATGCAGAAGTTGAGACATTGACAAACACAGTGTAGACCAAGAATAAAAGTTGCTTTATCTCTCAAAAAATAGTCAAAATACTTTATCATGTTAGTTGTCAAAAAATGAAAAGCCAGATGAATTAGTTTCAATGGTTGAAGAATAAGATATTGAGAAAATTCAATACCATACATGATAAAAGATTCTCAAAAGTTCAGAAATAGGAGAGAATTTCCAAAAACAATCTAAAACCCTCTTACTTCACTTTCCATATTTAAAAAAACAAAACCCCAAAAACTTGAAATGAATCATAGATTTAAATATCAGAGATAAGCCGGTGGGTGGTGCCTTTAATCCCAGCACTCTGAAGGCAGAGGCAGGCAGGTCTTTGAGTTTGAGAGCAGCCTAGCCTACAGAGCAGAGTTCCAGGTCAGCTAGGACTACAAAGGGAAACCTTGTCTTGAAAAACCAAAATGCTGCTGCTGCTGCTGCTGATGGTACACTTCAGTGATAAAACAATGAAATTGCTAGAAGATAGACAAAAAATTTGGCAATAAGAAGTTAGACAAAGATTTCTGAAATGAAATACAAACAATGCAATCTATGAAAGAAAAATAATGGCAAGGTGTAACACAAATTTAAATTTTACTCCTCAAGATGACACAGCTGATAGGGTAAAGAAAAGTCATGGATTAGGAAAAAAATTGAAAATACATATCTAATGAGTAGCTTTATGTATTTAGGATACAGAAAAAATAGAATTTAAGAATAAAAAACAGTCCTATAAATATGGGTGTGGTAAGGAAGGCTTTCAGTAGACTTGTCATCAATGATATGTGTATTGCAAATAAGAACATAGAAAGATCCTGTCTTAGGTTTCTGTTGCTGTGAAAAGACATCATGACCATGGCAACTCTTATAAAGGAAGTATTTAATTGAGGTGGCTCTCTTACTTTTCAGAGGTTCAGTCCTGTATCACCATGGAGGGGACGATGGAGGCATGCAGGCAGATGTGGTTCTGGAGCTGATAGTCCTTACATTTTGACTCAGGCAGCAGGAAGTTGATTGACAGTCACACTGAGGGAAGCTTGAACAAAAGAGATCTCAAAGCCTGCCACCATAGTGACATACTTCCTCAAACAAGTCC